TCCAGAATGGCTTCCGAACGGCACGACGCAGCCACGCCATGTTTTGATAGCTGTAGACAACTTAATAGCGGATCGCTCGGCATGGAAAATTTATATGCGCTCTGTAAGGTCACCGACCTATGGCAGGTCAAATCAGGCCATGGTGTGAGCAAAGTCAACTTCTCGGGAATCGCTCAATCCGATGCAGCAATGGAGTGTTAGACGAAGCCATACATCTCTGAGATGCTTTCTTAGGCAACACAAATACTGAATGAGCGACTAACGTTGACCCAAAGGTCAGGTATAAAGGTCAGACCAAGGTCAAAACCAACCTGTTTTATTACCCAAGGGCTTGCTGTATGGGATAGCTTTTTGTGTCTTTTGTTTGTTGATAGCAGGAACCGCAGTATATACCGTCCATGGACTTCTTAGACGTCAGAACAGGTCATTGACCTAAAATGACCTAGGCCAACATTTTGTGTTTAGAAACATACTGCCCAGCATAATCTGCACGTCACCTTCATGTCAATCAGCATAATCATAAGTCACCATGACCTTCAAAAGGTCAAACAAGGTCACTGCCCTTAGCTGAATATGTGACCTTTTGCTAAGAAACAGTTATTTAGGTTCTGGGGCACTTTAGAGACGACCCTGGAATTTGAGTCTGTTTTACCTTATTCGATCCGAAAGTCATGGTCTAGAAACCTCGAACTTTCACCTAAGTGAGTTCACGTACAAGCCAACACACTGTGTGCATTTGGTGTCTCTAGCTCTTTTAGTTCTCGAGATCTAAGGGGGTTCAAATTGGTCCCTCATCCGAGCGAAGGGTATCTAGCCTGCCACCCGGGCGTGTGATAAAAATGTGAACAGAATTGATTTTGCAGTAGTTTCTGGTTTCTGTTCTGGTTACAACGTAAAAACAACAATGAAACAAGAAAAAAAACCGCATGCCATGTTAACAAGTAAGCTATATCCGGGTTTCCTTTTGTGGGGGGATCACAATTCTGTCCACCCTGTGTTCCTCTTAGCAAGGCTCTGGCTACCCCCTGCCCACACACAAAAGCACATAAAGTCATCTACTTTGAATGACGGGCAATTAAATGTCCGTTGGGCCAAGTCATACCTAAAGTATGCAGCTTACCGGCGGCATTTTTCTGGGGTGGTGTGGTGTAAGGGGAGACAATTCGGGAAAAGGTACTTTTGCAGGTGTCCAACACATGTTTTGCACCCCAATTAGTAGCAATGCTGACCCAGAAATGTGCAACAAAGCAGCCATACCATCAGTTCGCGGTCAGTCATTCGGAGACAGCCGGGCCAGGACAGTGGCCACCGACGTTGGACGGGAACAGAGCTCAGACAAGGAATATATGACAAGGGCCTTCATTCCTTGGCTTGGTTTTCAAAGAACAATCTTTAGTCCTATGGCTTTTGTCACAGGGTTTTTGACAGTTTTAAGCTTCCGAATTTGTGTCCGGCTAAAATGCTGCGACAAGTCTTACCTCCTGAAAAGCAGCTAGCAAAATGAAGGCGCATGCAAAATTTGTTGTACTGTGAGTTATTGATTCACTTTCAAACTTTTCACCAGCCTATGCCCTGGCCATATTGTTGCATCTACCCTATGGAGACAGATGCCCCTTCAATGTCTCAAAATGCCTACCCGCTCGTGGAATTTCGGCTCCCCAGGAAACACAACGTTGAAATGGACAGATAATCTTGGGAAGCTGGATGGCCTTATTTCCCGAATGACATAGATTATTCGCATAGGCAAGAGTGTGCACCAGTGAGAAATCGATCTAGATGCATATCTAGAATAGCAGTCAATACATTTGAACAAACAGCGATAGCCGCCATCTCTGCCCTCCCCCCCCCCCCCCCCCCCCGGTCATCGGGCTTGTTTTCCAGAAAAAGTTCGTGGAGTACGCCCTGATCTTGCCCCCCCCCCCACCCCACTTTTTGAAATGTTCCTGCGCCTATGGCGGAGGGCGTCCAGCAACAGTCCATGCCGCCATCAACTGCATTATCCAACAGGACAGCGCGGTACGCCTGTGTTTAATTAGTGTATTTGTCTGTTACACGGCTGGACGGTAGGAGACCTTATCTGATCCATGACAGGGCGTCCTACATGGCAGGCTGACGCCTGGTCCGACTTGGCCTAATGAAGCGCTGTTTTGCTGGTCTCCCGGTCAAGTCGTGAGCCCGCGTTCCGCCGAACGGAGCTGATGTGTGGACAAGGCCGCTGCAGCAAGGCGGACCAAGTGGGTGCCGGACCGAGTCAAGAGAGGAGGGCGTCGGGGCAGTGTCCAGAACAAATAGCCTATATGGGATGGCCTCGCTCCCTCGCATTCAAAACGTTGATTATCCGGATCGACATCGACATCCGGTCGGATCGACAACATGTCGCACTGGATGATCATGTCATTGCAGGCGACAGCAAGGCGTTGTGGCTCGCATCGCGGGTGCTGTGCGGTCGCCAACATAAACGGTTTGGCATGAACAATATGATTTTGTATTACAAGATGTTGTCGCAATATAAATAACATGCCGCATGCCGCAGACATGGGCATGCGGCACTTCTTTTCTGTGTTTGCATGTGTTCGTGGCAACCCTCATCCCACCACTCACCAGAGTCTATCCCGATTTCCACCAAAGGAAACTGGAAAACTGAGTTCAGTGAGAAGAAAAATACCATGGTGCATCAGTGGCTGCTCAACCACTTTGGAATTGGACGAGATGGGCTGACCCGATTTTTACCTCGAATTTTTCCATACACCGCTCTACAAAACTGCAATAATTGGAGTTGAATTAATATAATCGCAGATCTATGCGGGGAACACGCTGCACACAAAAACCGTGAAGAAAGGGGACGAGCCACACCCCCCCCCCCCCCCAAGCATGGCAATGCTGAGATGCATCATTTTGCTGAATCCAAGTTGCTTCGAGTGCCACCTCTAACCATGGGGACGGGAGGAAGGGGGGGGGGGGGGAGAGAATCCCATCCAGGCAGCGAAAACATGATTTTTGCGTCACTTTGCAGAGGGCATCGGTCGATATTGGTTAATCTCTAAATCAGATTTTTGCAATTTGCTTCCAGACTTCAGAAACCACTTAATTAAGCATAGGTTGCCAGATAATGTAGGAAGCCTGTAGGTCAGGATATTTAACCTAATGAACGTGACTTCAGGGGATCAAATACATGTCTATCAATACACTGCAACATAAAGTTGCACCTGCGACGGCATGTATCGCTTTGTCTGCGACAAGTCAAATTCCAGCATCAGAAACTGGCACGCCTGAAATACTGTCGTACAATAATAACCAGAGTTTTCAACCTCGTTCCCTACAACTACTGGTTTGCATAATAACGAGGGTATAACAGGATGAAACGTGAGTTGTGAGTAGGGCAGGATTCTAAATATATTGCTTTTAAATAATTGTCTGCATCCCAAGGTGTCATACACCAGCCACGAAGGGCATGACAGGAACTGTCTTAGGACATCATCGCTGTTGGTTCTTGACGGACGCAGGGCTGTGGGTAAACCACATAAAAGTGTGTCTCATGGTATGTATTACTTCATAACATGACACAGCTTCAATGGATTTGCAAATAACACATGGCGGGTATTGTGTAATTCGTGTTAATCTACAAATTCATCACCGCCCCATCATATTAGCAGTTGAGAGATTTCCATCTTGAATGTTGGGTTGCCCGTAACTGATGATGCCCCTTGCCTAAGGCCCCCTTGTCTTATGTCTCTTTTTCGATTGTGCACGTCTGCTAATTTTACTATGGGTCTTGACGATCCAGTGTCACTAGATATCTGTGATATGAACAAAGTGCTAAATAAGTGTTAGAAGAGCTCTATTTTTTATTTCTCAAGATGATCCAGCACGTGACGCGTGTTTGGTTGTTCAAAACGGTCAATGTCAAGCTTGAATTCGGTTGTGGAATATAGAGCTTTCTTCAAATGACACTTAACGCGCGGTGCAAAATGGAATTGATTGACGTCGGAACCTTATTTGCAGCCTGAGAAATGACGCACTCTTGTCATCTATATTCACCTGCAGCCAAGACCACTCAGTTCGCTAGCGTGTGACATAGCTTTTATCTGTAGCGCTTCATATCTGTATGAATTGATATATCAATACTATACATTGGTTGCCGGTGGGAGCTGCTCAGAAAGGTGTTCCAGCGGAAAAATTCACGGAAGGGCGTAACAGGAAATAATCTGATGTGACCATACGTAAACTGCATTGCGAACTGTCAGCACACACGGCTGTTGGAATGGATTACATTGTCATTGCGTAGAGGATATTGCAATTCGCGTTAAAGCCTTTATGGGGCAAAGAACGTCGGTTGATCTCGACTAGCGCTGGCGTCGTTGATCTCGCCTGCGTTGGCGTAGGTTAGGTACCGTGCTCGTGTAGTGCTTGGTGATGACGGATTGCGTAGCACGGGCTTGGGCGATCGCCGGGTTTTGGTCAGGGCTGTGGACGGGGCGAGTCATGGGTGACGTCGTTCAGCCACGTACCCCACTACTGATTTCCTATGAATGAGTATTTTCCACAAGCATGACAGTGGGCATGATAGCTGGTAGCTAAACAATGCTAGCTGGAAAAATCGGTGGGTAGAGCAAACCCATGTGCCAAAATGCAGCCAGGGGCACGCGAGCCGATTTGCGGGGGTAAGGGGGAGAACATGCCCTCAACTGTCTGCAAATTAAGCCTTGGCCCTTTGGGCATCGGCTGTAAAGGAATATTCAAAAACGGCTATCCCCCAACGTGGGAGGACTTCGACAGCCGTACACTGCACTTACCGTGCACCGCGACGCTTTGAAAGACCGGCGGATAGCCATCCGCTTGTTGCCATTACTGTTCGGCGCCGCAGGGAGCTGAGCCTGACGACAGCCACATGAGCTCGGGTTTTGTATTAGACAACGCGCACAAACAGATGAAACAAGAATATCACAACCGCCGGCGGACGGCCGGGCGCGGTAGCCCTGCGCCGTCACCTATTCCCCATTTTAGGGCTCCGCGTTGGACGAGTATTTGGGCGGAGCCTTGTAGCCGACGCCCGGCTTGCGCTCAATGTCCCCCTTGTAGATGGGAGCCGACCTGTAGGCGGGCGGCGACTTGTAGGAGGTCGGGGCGCGCTTGTACTCAGCCGCCGGCTTGTAGCCGGGGGACGGCTTGAAGCCGCCGGTCGGCGCGTACCCGTCGCGGCCCGGCTGGCTGTACTCGGACTGCTCGGGGAACCTCGCCTCGCCCTCGTACGACACCTCCGCGTTGAAGCCGCCATAGTCGTCGACCGTGTACTTGACCGTCTGAATGCGGCCGTCGGGCAGCGCCACCGTGTAGAAGCCGGTCGTCTGCTTGCCGTCGCTGTTCTCGTTGGCGGCGAACTCGGCGCCCGTCTCGTAGTTGCTGACGGCGTAGTCGAAGGCGTAAGGAGAGGGCTCGTAGTGGTACTGCTCGGGCCGGTGCCCGCTGGCGTGCGAGCTACCGACGGGCGTCTTGAAGCCGCCCGGTGCCTTGTAGCCGCCCTGCGCGGGCTGCTGGTAGGCGGCCGGCCGGCCTCCTCCGTAGCCAGGCGAGCCGGCTTTCTCGGCGGCGGCGGCCACCACCAGGCAGGCGACGAGGCAGACTCTCATGCTGCGGGCGTGGCGGGGAGGGCGGGGAGCTGACAGCGGGCGGACTGATGCCAGTGGGTCGCGCCCGCTCCCTTTTATACGGGGACCGATCGGGTCCACTGCGCCTGTTGGGCCGCTCGCCCGTTGTTGCAACCTTCCACGTGGTGCGCAGGGGGAGAACGGGGGACAGCATCCGCGGAAGTTCCAACGGACAGACACCGGCCACGCGGGCGGAGAGGGTGTGGGCTTTGGCGCCGTATGTCAATTCATGCCAACGTTGATATTCGTGAACTTATGAGTTTCATGGTTCAACGCAAGCTATTCAAACACGGCCTATTTTCAGATCAAATCGTGCTCAAGGCTGCATATAAAGTTTTGACAGTATCCAGGCGATCTATTTAAACCAAACCACGGCCAACGTCAACAGAAAACAAAATAACAGAGTTCTATAAATTCCAACCGAATACAATTGTACCCAGATCAACACAGCTAGTCCCAAGCAATCACACAGATCTCAACACACGAAAACTTGCTAGAAATAGTGTGCTATTTGTAAGTTGCTAGAACTGGCTAATCAAAAGTCTTTTTTTCACTGCATTATCAATCAGAACGATGCGATTGTATCGAATATAGGGTCGATATACCCGGACCGATTTCTGCACAGTGACTTGATATTTTCCATTATTCCACACCACACTACCTCAGACGCAGAACTCAGTATGCTATATTTGTGGCCTAGCAGAGCTGTTTTCCGAAACCAGCACGTTTCTTATTTGACCCGGCATGTACAGGGATGTCAGGCGGACAGTTGCCAGTGAGTCTGAAACTGTTTGGCTGTGATGAAACCGTTTGCCTTGGTTCTAGCGTAGGAGCGATGGCAGCTTTCAATCACGGGTTGTTGCGAGAGGGTTACAGGAACATAGCGATGCAAAATAAAGTGAGAGAGAGGGAGAGAAATGAAGAGAGGTAGAGAGAGAGAGAGAGAGAGAGAGAGAGAGAGAGAGAGAGAGAGAGAGAGAGAGAGAGAGAGAGAGAGAGAGAGAGAGAGAGAGAGAGAGAGAGAGAGAGAGAGAGAGAGAGAGAGAGAGAGAGAGAGAGAGAGAGAGAGAGAGAGAGAGAGAGAGAGAGAGAGAGAGAGAGAGAGCGGGTAAGTATAAAGACACATGATGCCAGAGGATGTGAAAGTCTCTTCGTGCGTAACCAAAACCAGCCTTTTTCCATGAGACCAGTTCTTTGAGATATCCTCGCAAGCTGCGCCATGTGATGCGTACACGCAGAGTATCTATAAGAAGTGCTGGCATTAATTCATACCTTACCTTTTATAAATCGTGCATGCTTGAAAAACACAAGATCCATTCGTGAAAACGACGCTTGGGAGATTACGAAGGAACCTCAAGTGTCGCAATGGAACCAAGGACAGTTACCGTGTGGGATGATGGGGTTTCAGACCTTGTAGCATAAATAATGTGCTTGATGTGTTCTCTGCGACGCATGAGGCAAATAGTGACATTGGAGGCAAATCTTACTCAATTGCTCATGCTTTGAAGATAAAGATCTACCAACGTCATTAGAACCCTACACAGCCGGATGGCGCGTGGAGTACACTTGCGTCTTGTTCAGCTTAGTCACACAAGAAAAGATTCAGTACAGCTGAGGTTTGCAGAAGCGCTAGTGCCCCCCCCCCCCCTCTCTCTCTCTCTCTCTCTCTCTCTCTCTCTCTCTCTCTCTCTCTCTCTCTCTCTCTCTCTCTCTCTCTCTCTCTCTCTCTCTCTCTCTCTCTCTCTCTCTCTCTCTCTCTCTCTCTCTCTCTCTCTCTCTCTCTCTCGTCAACGAGATCTGCCAACACACGCCTCTGCAAACATGCCCCTGCCCTTGATGCACTTGGCTGAAATATAACCGAGCCAGACAGGATATCGAGCGGAAAATAAATGCTCCGCGGAAGATCTCCTTAAAGAGGGGGCACTCCAGACCCTCACTCCATAGATACCAACTCACTGAACATGAGACGCCTCACCTGTACTTTTAGCATTTTGAGTAACTTCGATACACTCAGACACATCATCCGTAAAAGCCCCATCATTCTCTAGAACAGTTAAAAAGTCCCACAATTCTTTGGAGCAGACGTGTGAGAAGTTCAACTATCCTGATGAACAGGTCATTCAAGTCAAACCACCTAGTCTTCAGAAAACTAACACAATGACTTATTGGTGTTGCTAGCTGACTAATGTCAGTGTCGTGACGCGACATCTGTCATGGGACAATCTTTTTAAATGACTAGCTATGCGGTCATTAAATCAGCCGGCTCTGGGGATTGTAAGGAGATCTCATTCAGTGATTGGTTTAGCCTACTAGCCTCGCCTCCGTGGTCAACCTGGTATGCGTTTACGCATGCAAAAAAAAGCATGCCGAATGCGATGTCATTGCGGTTCTCATTGGGTTATCACAACGTCACACATCAACACTTCCGCGTTACGTTTTTGAGCTGTTTCCGTTTGACGGCTCGGCCCAGCCGTCTGTTCCCGTATGTACCCGAAGACTCAGGGCATTCTGAGACTTAACATGCGCAGTGGAGGGGAGGGGTGGAATCTGCCCCCCCCCGCCCCCTTCATCCTGTTTTTCGTGAATGTCTCCGAAGTAAATGGGAAGATCTTTACAGCTTTTCGTCTACCCGCAATTAATACCCTAGCGTGTCGTTTAGAGCAGAGAAGAAAAAAATCGGCCGGAAAATTGTGAGGTTGTCAGCCTGAGGTGTGAGACTGACAACGTCAATAACGCAGCCAACTTCAGAGCTCGAGAATTGGCGCTGATGCGCTCTCGTTATACCCTCAGCAATTAAATATTTGTGACAACACTGGTCACTTGTTTTATGCATACTGCAATACGTTATAATGTAAATGTTATATTGGGTCACTGAGTTCAATTCAGGTCAAGTTTGTAATAGGTCAATGGGATCAATAAAGGTCAGCTTCGTGGTTCTCATAAGCACAAGTACTGATCCGTAAGTCATATCATTTTGCTAAGCTGTTCCCAGACCTGCTGATAACTCGTGTCTTTGTTTAAGCGGAGCGTTTGTATGTTTCATTTATTACTGTTGACGCACTTCAGCTGATTCTTCACATGGTCGACTGCGCCCAGCCGCCCGGCCAGCCAGTGAATCGGCCGACCGACCGCCCCACTCTGGAGCCGTCCGTCAAATCCTGCAGTTAAACGCTACGTTTTTAATGTGTCGTGTATCATGTCAGTAGCATAGCTTAGTCCCATTTAAGCAAATTTAAGCAAACTTGCAACTATACCCAAGGATTACAAACCAAGCCAGGCAAAAGATTCCAAAGTTGGCATGTTTTACTTCATTTGACATTGAAGAAGGTAGCCTAGGGTCATGCTTTTGTCAAACAGCGTAGTTTTCTGTAGCAACCACCTACCCTGGGAATTCCATTATTTCAACTCTTACGGCTCTCGAGAGGAAGAGGGGGGGGGGGGGGGCGAGATCCACTCCCTCCCTACATTCCGTGTAAATTTCAGAGGTCCTCCACTGTGCATGGTTATGAAGAACGTGAGTGCTACAGGTGCTGATCGCACGTGTAGACGCTGTTGTGTGGAGTGGGTGTTGACGAGAGTGAGAGACGGACCTGTAGAGGCTTTGTAATTAAAAACAGCTATGTTCAACTGTTTCAGGAGAGAACTGGCACGAGCGAGGCCATCACAGGTCATCACGCCAGTTAGCTGAAAGAATCATTTAGTCTCCCACATTAGCAATGTCACAGCGCATTAGCCTTAAGATCAACGTTTGCCCACGGCAACGCTCAGGTCACATCAAGTATAGCATCAACGCCTTTCCACAGCCCCAAACCTCATCACACTATGAGGGTGCTGCTTTGTCGCGCTATTTAACATGGGCGTCTTCATATTTTCTTAAGCATCCTGTTCACAGGCGCTCCTATGTGGTTCAGGCTGATCTAAGTCCCAAAATTCAATTAAGTGTTTTAGAACTTCCGAGGCGCCCTGCACATAATCAAAGATGCACTGAAGTTGCATGCCTTCATAAATAAAGCGAAGGGTTGCATGCCTGCCATTCATCTTGAGCACTGAACACACATGATCTATTCATCATGAGCAAAGCTTAGCCTGGCACCTCGCAGCTATGTGATGAAGAGTGGCCAGGAGCGGACCGTAGCAGTCTAACCCAGACGATTCCAGAGGATACTGCCGCTCGATATGCTGCTCAATGTAATCCACCCACCCGTGGTGCGATGGGTTCGAGTCGCTTTAAGCGTTTGTTGTTTGCCAGTGACTGAGATGGCCTGCGGCCAGTGATAGCGGCCGCGCTAAAGGTCAGGTGACGTCAGCGGTCAGGACAGACCGCGGTGAGCATTGCGGTACGGTAAACTTCCGCCACTGAATTCCGCTGTTGACCTGAAATTTCACTATCGGATGGTGAGGCCAGGGTTTGTGCAACAAGCAGTGCTTGACGTGGGCTCCGATTACAGAAATACACGCATTTAAAAGGTGCAGGCTGAATCTATTTATACAAAACGATGTAAATCATGGTTACATCCCGTATGCAAGCCGGAGACGCATCTGACGTGTGCTACACTGCGAAAAAAGGTATGGAGAAAGGAGAATTTTGCCAGGCTACTGTTCGCAGAAGAAGCGTTCCGTTAGTCAAGGTTAGGATATTCTTGGTACCGCCTGAGTGATTGTAGCCCCAGAATAATTACACCTTTGACTAGGCGGTGCAAATAGTACAAAACGAGGTTTCATGGCCGCCTATTAAAATTCCTGGACTGTAAAGTTGTGAATAAGACACTGGAGCAAGATTAAACGGACTAACGTCAGTCTCTTCTGCATATTTGAGAAGCTTTGCACCAAGCATGGACCTACAGCATGCACTGCTTGAAAGAATCGGCCAACAACGTTGCAGAATCAATGATCGCATAGCTGTGGTCCTACGTTTTGTGTCCCTGATCCTCTACTTTGTGAGCCATATCTACCACACTTTTTGCATTTGCCTTAAGACAGTCAACTTTTCACTCCTGACAAATTTAACGCTGCTTGCATATCACCATTGGACGGCTATCTATTTCACTCTTTATCCCTTCGACATTTACGCCGTCAATATTTTACAATCTGAGATTGTTCTGTGTGTTTGCTCACATATTTGGCCATATCACCATTTTCCTCATTTGGATATTTACCTATCAGTGCTGGCGTTTATCGAGTCGATATTCTGTTATTCTATCGCCTTTCATTTCGATGCTACCAATGTTGTCCCTCAATTATTAGTGCTCACTATTGTTCCATTTCATCACATGCAATTCATTGTTTTACCTGATAATGGCCTGTCCCTCGTCACGCAGTCGTCAAGTGTCCGAGGTCCTAACGGAGCGATGTGAACGGATTTTTGTGACTGCGCCCTGGAAAGCGCTGCAACTTTTGGTTTATTTCTTCTTCATGCCAGAAGTAGTTTCGTGTTCTGAAAATGGGCTGCAGCAGGCTGGCTCATAAAAGACGATTACGGAAAATCCTTGTATGTGCAGAGTGGAATCTCCTTTTGTCAATATTTTTGTTTCGAAGGCAAGTGTTTGCAACAGGCTGAAGATATCAGCCATATGACCCTTATCACGCAGAAGTTGTAATCCAGATTTTTCAGCAAGTACAACGTTTGTGTCTGTCTCTTGCTCTACCCGGCAGTTATTGCGATGCTATAACAGGTGGGCGAAGAGATGCATGACCATTTGCATCCGATGCGTGCGATCTCCCCCATGTTCAGCAATGCGACAAATGCGGGTAGATTTGACATAACCCATAATCACTGTTGGAACTTAAAGTGTAAGAGGGGCAACGAGGCTATCGCTCTGCTTGGCTGTCAGGGCTGTCTTGCAAGGCTGTCAGAAAACCAACATGGCGTCATGGGCACATCACTCGGAGCATGCGCCTTCCCAAGGCTCACATGTTGGACTCGCCACTGGACTTCCGCGGGCCAAACCTTGGAGAACGGGGAAAACGAGGCAACAGGCTGGCACACCAGCCCAAAAGCAGCCGTGGCGCTGACTAGGTGCCGTGTCCGGCGGCGACAGCAGGAAAGCCGCCGCCCACGCGTAGCTGGCAGTCGCCTTTCAAGTGGCGCAACACCCGCCGACGTGAAAGTACATGAAACACTGAGCGAGGGACATGGCGCAGGAACACGCCCTGGCGCAACTGGTTGGTTACTGTTTTATGTCCGTTTTTGCATACACGGTTGTCTTAGGCAATAGACATTCAACGAAGAGCTCGCAGCAGCTCTTTTTGTGCTTGAAATTGTATGCAATACCGCCTCGTTACGAGAGGTTGATTTTTGGAAACGTTGGGTGCTGGGAGTTCACAAAGTCATTCGTGGGCACAGCTGCAGACGTCGTAGACAAGATCCCCCTTTCGCGGTGTGGCTGGCTTCGAATCGTTTCGTCGCTCACTATCTGCCTCTGGTTAGGATGGCGCACGGCCGGTGGCAGCGGCTGCTTCAAGACCATGGAGGTCAGAGTCGGGCGGACCGCACTGAGCATTTCGGCACGCTAAATTTTCGCCATAGAATTATACTGCTGAGTTGGAATTTCACCATCGGATGGTAGGGTCAGGGTTCACGAAGAGGCAATACTCGGCATGAGCTCTGGTTTTAGAGATCTATGCGATCAAAACATTCGGATGGCGCAAATTTCACTTTTCAAACTTTTGATGACACGACGTAGGCGAGGGCTGGAGAGGAGTTGGTGGGCGAGTCAAGATTCCCCGGAATTTTGCCACGGTTGAATGTAAATGTCTGGTGATGCATGACGATTCTGACTCGTACACGAGCTTTCCGCTCCTCCCCCTCTGCTTCCCCCCCCCCCCCCCGCCCTCCCCTCCCCCTCCCACAGTATGGCGCGCAGTGCCCGATTATCGCATGACGGTCGCCCATGAATGGAGGAAATTGTAGACGAGTGACGAGGGGAAGCGGGGGCGAGGCGGAGGGAAGGGTGTGAGACCCCCGCCCCACGGGTTGGGGACGAAGTCAAG